CTTGTTTCACAATTGTTGAGCTTACTTCCATTTCGAGTGAAAGTGTTGGGTGAAGAGATTCAAAAGTCGGCTCCACCAGAAGACGACGGTGGATTCCTCTTGACCAGCTGTCGATTGGCTTTACTGGAACAATTATGCTGACGCTGTTTCTGAGGCAATCTCGTTCGATTTCGGTGAAAAGGTGCTGAGCTTTCGTCCGTCATATGACGGACATCATCACAGCAAGGTAGCATCGTCACAACAAAATTCAAGCCAACGAGTCAAGAGTTTTCTTGACTTGACTCGTTACTTTGAATTTTTTACTCGAAACGGAAGTAAGCTCAACAAACGATGCCGAGCCTTCGTACTCCAGCCACGAGGTCGAAGTGACTCAGCTCAACTCACTGGTCTCGTCACGCGACGCCCGACCTATTTCCTCACCTCGACCACTCAGCCACACAGCGTGTTCACTCCGGCTGTCGACCAATCATAATTGTGCCAGACACACGCCTAAGCCTGCAATTGGACCAATCAGACTTGGCCGAGTCAACCCTCCGACCTTCACATCGCACGAAGCATGAAAGAGGACGAGTTCTAAGCTGAGACGATCCAGTCCGGATCTACTCGCTTCTAGGGCAGTCTCCAGACTCAGCCGGATGTGCCTCACATCTGCGTCACGGCAAAGTCTGTATGGAAGGAGTGTGCTCATCCGGCGCAGAAGCACAATGACCGCCAGTTTGATTCGGCGTCTACAACGCTCCATTCGTTAGGCGTACGCAAAAAAGACTGCTTGACACGACCCTCTTGGCACATTTCGTCGTGGGGCAGCACAGCACAGAACACAATCCCACATTTCACATGCTCCCATGCGTGTCCACTGGCAAGCTTTAGGGCACACGAACTCTCCTCCCCCAGCACTACTCCATCCCGTAATCTATCCTATAACCTAGCCTGACATAATGTATCCGGTCCTTCACATCTTAAACTATGAATTCAGGAAACCACTTGGACTTTGTGGAAAATGTAGCTAAGCCAGTCCCAAAAAGCAAGTCCAGCAGGGAAAGTTGAGAATGTTTCAAGGATTTGAGTAAGTACAGTTCAATGATAGGTGAATGAAATGTGACCGCGCAAGAAGTCAAAGAGCAATTGTCAAGAATGACCAAACTTTAAGAGTAGGTTGATATCACAACCAATAGTAAATTCTCCCATGTATGGTTAAGTGCTACGTCCTGTAGAACCCTTCAACAATTTCGGGTCATTAGACATTTCATTCAGCATTATAGAGCTTTGATCGTTGCTATGAAGACCAAGAT